TTTGCTGAAAGCTTTCAGTGATCAGGGAATGGTGAGAGCAGACTATGTCACCTCTGAAGCACACATCCCTCTGTTTGCAGAATTCCATACTGGCATGGAATCAGTCCTGCTGATTACTGCATTATCACTTGGGCTAGGTAAAAAGTGTGGGATTAATGGGGAAATACCATGGTGTGATCTCTGCTCAAGCTGAGCACTTTCCAAGTAGCATTCTCACAATAAGCCTTGCTGGACCATCTGCCTCCTGCAGGTCCTCTGCATCCCTCACTTCAGGCTCACCAACAACATTATTGTCTGGATTTACACCTATCTTTACTAAAAAATTGGTCTGAAAAAGTCAAATATTTGGTGAAAGAGCCACTGGGACAGGATTTGCACAAGTTAGTGCCGACTTCTCCAGCCTCAGGCTGCAGCTCTGCTCTGGGACATTGCCCTTCCCTTCCAAAGCTGAATTATCTGTCACTGTAAAACGCCTCCTTTATTGAATAAATAGGGTATAATATATTTTTTAAATTGTGGTACTTTCAACTTGATTTGACCAGTTTATGGACTCTAGAGTTTTTCTCCATTGTTCTTCTAACTCCACGTAAAGATTTTTTTCTTATTTATCACAGTTCAGTGTTATTTAAAGGTTTTAACACAATCTCATCATCGAAGATAATTTTGCAATCTGATTACATCTTGTAGGAAGCCCACGTGTAGCACGCAATGGTAAACTCACTGGAAAGCCCTCTCAGGCTGCAGTGCTTGTCACTTTCTCCACAGCATGTGGAGAAATTTGGGTGCTTTTACCTGATTTCCAGCTCGTTGGCAGACCTAAAAGGGAGATGTGAGACGTGGGGTCAGCACAGACACATCCTCTAGCAAAGAAAACTTTGTAAGTTGTACGAAGTGCTTGAAGCTTCTCAGAATGATTTTAGCTGTTGGAATAAAGGGAACTGCAATTACTTGACAGGGTCCCAACATCAAATCTGTAACTTAAGAGTTTTACTTCCTATGTGCATTCACACAATATGATATTTGTCTTGACTTTCCAAAGCACCCTGAGAAAATGGCAATGCATATCCAAGGGAAAGGCTGCAAGACAGAATCCTTCAGCCGAGGCCTGACTGCATTTGTCCTCAAAGAAAGCTGACAAAAGAAAGGAGAGACATAAGAGAGGGATGGATTTTTCTAAAAATAGTAATCATGAGTCCAATTCTCTTCAGTTTACAGCAGGAAACACCGTCTTGCTTCCTTGCCAACAACTCTGAATTTGCAAAACCCTTTGGGACTTTAGAGCAACTCTTGATGAGGTGTAGCTGTCAATGCAGCACTGACTGAGCTTCTGCACCGAGCACACACAGGGGACAGTCCTCAGTCTTCACCTGCCAGTCTGGGGCACTTTCTCAGTGTCTTCAGCCTTTACCAGCATTCATGGCATCACTGAAAATATTCAGTCTTCCCTTAAAAATGCTGTAAATGCTCCTTCAGCTAGGAGAGGAGAATTGCCAAGAACTTTAGCAGGTTTCTTTTATTTCTCTCTACAAATACATTAATGCAGCTGCCTAGTGTGACCTCCTCTGTCACACTCTGCTCGTTTTGGAAGCAAGGCACTGACCTGCTTTTCCTTACAGCAACTCTTTTTAGTGGCCAGAGATCCTTTTCCTGCCGAAGTCCCAGAACCTGTAGATCTGTGCTTCTACTCACCATGCCCAAAGCTGATACTTCCCAGTGTTAATTATTGCAGTATTTTCAGTGCAGTGTTAACCCTTTCATTGCCCTCTTCACCTAGAGGTCTCCTCTGCCATTTAACAGTTCTCACTGCCCATCAATTATCCATCATTGTCCTTTCAATTATAATTTTATGATTTTATTAACAACTTCTAATTCCTATGGCCCTAAGCCCCCTCTGGCTGTGAGAACTGATTAACAGGGATAGAAGACTTGTTTGCTTCCATTTTGCTTCATTCATTTTAGGTGAAACATGCATGAAAAAGACAAATGTCACATTTTCTATTACCAGATACTAGTTCTGTCCTCCTTAGTCTTTGCTTTTGAATATCATCATCAGAAGTGATGCACTTCAACTCTTTTAGGCATACTTTGATGATATTGCAATATGTAGCTTATGGAAAAATCAAATGACAGTTTTTATGTCAGCAGCACTTTGCTATTTCCCGACTAAACAGCAACACTTAATTTTTGAGTTGCAAATTTGCAGCAGTGGTTGTGGGTGGAGATTGTGCTTGTTTATTTGGTTGGGTTTTACTACAATGTACTGTCATGGCAACTGCTGTAAGGGCGAGTGCATCTGGAGGTAATTCGTACACATCATGTTGAATGCAGCAAAATTGCCTTGTACCATTTAAACTTTTTCAACCACTGGGCAAGGGCAAAGTTATCCCTTTGAGACTCCAAAGCACCTTCTCCTTACTAAACAAACAAATACATAAACAAACTTGGCAGAGCTCTAGGAGCAATGCCAAACATTTCTTGGTGTTTGGATGCAGAGCCTGCTGCACGGTTAAATTAGGGCTGACACCTTGGGTGTTTCCTCCAGTTCTGCTGATGCACAGCAAGGTTTCTGTCCTGTTCATGTGGGGGCAGAACATTGTGCCCTGCCCAGGTGCTGTTTGGGCAGGCATTGGCCAGACCAGTCTCCCGTGGCTCCAGGAGACTTTGCCCAAAAATGCTGCCCAGGCCAGTGCCAGACCCTCTCATCCTGGTGATGGTGCAGCTGCTCCACTTTACATCACTTCAAGCATGGAGAAACTCCACCAAAATCCACTGCCCGAGCACACAAAGTGGCGTCAAAAGGGACTAAATTGGGCCAGTGATGCAGCTTCAAGCATAACATGCCTCACCTGGGCACCTGCCCTGCCTCACCTGGGCACCTGCCCTGCCTCACCTGGGCACCTGTCCTGCCGGCCCAGCCTCACCTGGAGGTGCAGGGAGCACGAGCAGCCCCAGCCCGAATCCCAGGGGGCCGATCCCTGCACACTGCTTGCTTTCAGATCACCAGGAGCAGCTCAAGTTTCAGCAGCCCTATGGCAGGAACAACGAGTGAATCAAATCCCACCTATGCTCACAGACAGTATTTCTTCAGATGAATTAGTGCAGGAACAACCTGCAGGATCTAATTACGGCTAATTTTCCATTCATTTGTCTCGGTACTTCTGACCCTTTTACTGCAATTCTTGAGCACTCACAACATTGATCAGAGATTTTCAATAATTTAACTCTAAGGGTCAGCTCTTTAGCTGGTGTAAATCAATGCATTTTCTTTGGCTTTGGAGCGGATCCGAAGGGAGGTGTGGGATTTCTGTTGGAGAGAGAGCAGTCGGAATTCACTGAAGATGCTGCAGCCTGGCAGTGCTTTGCACCTGCTCGTGCTCACCAGCCCTCGGAGAAAGAGCAGCAATCAGCACATTGAATACTTTCGGATGTTCCTCAGTCCTCTGGAATTAAAATCAGAATACGTGTACTTTTAAAAAAATACCATTAACAAAAGTACCTAAACCAGGTCTTCAGCATCACCTGAAATGTAAGACTAGAGACAGAGGCTTGTGACATTTAGGAATTGAGACTAAAAGGTCACACAAAAAGAATTCAGGCTCAACAGACAAAATATTTAACTGAGCCTTAATTTATTTTTGCCCTAGAAGTTTTGGATCTTTGGTTTGGTTGCTATTTAAGACAGAAAGAATTTGCACAAACAAATTAAAAAGGGAATGAATGGAGACTTAATTGGTAACATTTATTTAATAAAGCAGCATAAGTGAGCATCCACAGAACTTTAAATCAGCTACTGGAACAAGAAGCAGTGGGCAGATGTTCGTTGCCAGGGCTGTGGATTTCAGGAGTGTGCCCCAACTACGAGCTAAGCAAAAGCCATAATATTTTCTTTTCTGGAAAACACTGCATCTTTTCTCAACGCTAGCTTGTCTCCACAGAGAAAGGATAGACTGGGAAAACAGGAACTTATGGGGAGATGCCAGCTTTTATTTGCCACAGGAGGTTAAAGGTTCCCTAGAGCACAAAGGAGCTTTTCTTGCCCAGACAATCCCATCGTGGTGCACATCAGCACAACTAAAGCTGCAAAGCTCAGCAGCAGTCAAGAGAGATCTGTTGAACTTGAGCTGAATTTTTTCAAACATTCACTAGTTTTTCTCCACGCGCATCCCCACATCAATAGTCGGCAATATGAATACATTAAAAAAATTTAGCAGGATCTCTGGTTTCTGTTAAAGCAACACACACAGAGCCTCCAAATATCCTTCCAGCATAAAGCCCAACTTCTTTGTGCTGCACAGAGATTAATAATTATTATCTTATCTATTGTGAGTTGATGCAATTTCTTTCTTCCTCCCACACACCCACACTTCTGTTTCCTTCTGATCTGCATTTGTAGCTGAGCTACTGTTAGGCTGAAAGGAAGGAATTTGGTAATACCTCCCTAAAAAGATGCCTGTTCATCCAGTGACAAAGGATGGAGATGTTGGCTATTGACAAAAGAAAATAAAGAACTTCTTTTCCAAACATCCCAAGAGAAATAACCTCATCATTTAGGTATTTCTTGTGCATTCCAAGTTAAAAGAAAGAAAAGAAAAAAGTCTGAAGATCTGAAAGTTGCTTGAGCTCAATCAATCGTTCTCATTGGACTGTAGTTCTTAACGTGCACAATTAGAAACAGCAGATGGAGAAATGCTCAGATAAAGCCAAAAGGGGTGGGTGGGGGAAAGTCACCCTGGCGGTGGATTCCTCAGTTTGGATGTGAACCAGCCTCGCACCCCTTGTTCTTGCAGGTGTGGGCAGCGGCAGCTCGGCAGGGCACGATGACGGTGCCAGCCCAGGAGCGCAGGGAGGCGCGGGGCCAGCCCGGAGCCTGAGGCTGGCAGCCCGGCCACTGCAGGCTGCTCCCGCCGGCCATGGGCTGAGCCCCGGCAGCAACGAGTGTCTGGCCGGGCACAGCTCCGGGGCCCTGCTGGGAAGCGTGAAGAGCCCGTTTCAGTAAGGGCATGGCCAAAGCTTTCTTCAGGCTCCAGAAGTTTCTCCGTCGGACCCAGTTTCTGCTCTTCTTCCTCACGGCAGCTTACCTGATGGCCGGCAGCCTCCTGCTGCTGCAGCGGAGCCGCCTGGTCATCCAGCAAGGCTCCCGTGGCGTTCCCACGAAGCAGGCGCTGCAGGAGCTGGGCAGGGCTGGGCTGGCAGAGCCCAGGAGCCTGCAGAGCCCCCGGGCCGGCCCCAGGCTGCTGGTGGCCATGGAAGCCCTGCAGGAGCCGGCCCGGCACAGCCCGCTCTGGCTCACGTCCCGCAACGCGGAGCTGCGGCAGCTCAGGAGGAGGTGGCTGCACAGGTTGGGCAGCGAGCAGCAGCCCCTGCAGCCTGCAGCACCTGCAGCAGCGGAGCATCCTGCCGAGCACAAAGGTAAGGATGGACCCCGCCCCTTTCCTGCACACGGACTGTGCTCGGCCGGCCCCGAGCATCACACACCTCTGCAGGTGTGCCTTCCTCCTCGCTCACCACCATTGCCAAAACAGCTCTGGGGTGTCTGCACCGGCCAAAGCACAAAGGATCCGTGCTGGGTCACTGCTGTGCCCTCACCGCAGCGACAAAGTGTGAGTTTGCAACCTTTGATGCTTTGCCTTTCAGAAGAACGAGTTGTTCTTGGAGATGTTTCATGGTAACAAAACAGGAATGGGATCCGGATTACTAGACACCACATTTCAGAGCTGCTTTTCAGTTCGTTGACTATATTTTACCAATCAAAAGGGCACAAAATCCCACAAAGTGGGTGCCACATCGTGCTGCTTACTGAGGGAATTGTCAGAAATGGGAATGAGAAGGCGATAGTGGTGACACGAGTCACACCCTGTGAGCCAGGCAAACTGAACACCTGCAGTTACCTGAAGCTCCAAGCTGGAGCTGCTCCACGGATGCTCCAGAGCACCCTGGTGGAGGCAGAGGAGAGACTGAGAGCTGCTCAGCCAGGGCCTTGCTGTGGTTCTAACTACTAATGAGAGGGGTTATTTGTTATTTATTTGTACATCTCACCATATTGAGCTGTAGATTCAAATATGCTTCATTTGAATATCTGATTGAACATGAAGGGACATTATTAATAACAATATTGTTAACAAGCATTGGAATGCCTTTGAAGGTAATTAATTAAAACTTAACTACCTACATAAAGCATGTTATCTTCTCCAATTCACTTCCAGTGAACTTAGGGGCTTGTTATTTCATTATGCATCCCTTTCAAGACCTAATGAACTCCTCCGTGCTTATAATGCTTAATAAAGTTTCAGGGATGCCCAGTGGCTCCTGCTTAGTAGAGCAACGTGTCCTGACCATGGAGGCTGTGCTTGTGACCCCTCGTGGCTGTGACTCTGAGGCAGTACAGCTCTGCCCCTGCTTGCCCAGGGGCTGCTAGCCAGGCTTCTCCAGGCAGCCCTTGACCCATGCCACAAACACAGGCATGGCCCAGCCTGTTGTGAACCTCCCAGCTCGCTCTGCCTCGCTCTGTCTCTTAGTGAGAAAACCCGAGCTCTCTTTTTCTCCAGGCCAGGCTGTCTCACCTGCTGACAGTGCAAGTGGCTCAGGGTAGGGAGCACACTTTTCCTGGCACAGACATTGGCAATGCTGTTAGTACAACAATGACAGTTTCCTGTTCCCACTGCTCCCAGTGGATGGAATTCCAGTCCCCTGGCCTGGTTCTGCCATTGAACAGGATGCAGAGGTGCCAGGGACTGCATCACTGACAGGCCATGACATGACAGGACAGGACAGGACATGCTACTCTGAGTCTGTGCAGTCTCTGTGACTCATTCATGGGAGGATGTGAATGAGGAATTGCTGCCAGGCTGGCAGTGGCCTGGAGGGACACAGGGAGGAGGGCAGATGGTGGCTGGCTCATCCAGGATCCCCACCCAGGCTCTTTGGCCCCACATCCTCAGTTTTCTGATGCCACAGGTTTGAGTCGAAATACCCAAATCAAGAGTCTCCAGTAAAATGTGGAGCATTTTCGTTGCAGCTGTGTGACTCCCACCTCGTTAATGGTGTGCTGGGGGTGTGTATTCACAGCTTGTGAATTTTCTAATTACACGGTGGCAAATTACCACGTGCAGGTCGTTGAATCTACTGTTGTGTTTGTAATATTTAAATGTTTGATTTATTATTTCTGGCTCCAAAATCCCTGATGGAGCAACTCAAACTTCTTTTTTCTTGTGGATTAGTTAATATAATGTTTTTTAGTTTCATTTTTCACCATATATTATTTTCCTATACACAAATTACATTATTTAATTTCCTTGTGTTATCATCTCAGTGTTGTTATTTCTAAAATCAAATTTCCTTTTTTCCTTCATATTTTGATGATAAAATGTACTTTTAAACACACAATTGCTGTATAATAGTGGGACTCCACATCATTGTTCCAATTGTATATTAAATAATGGGCTGGGTTTTTACAGTATTTTGTTCATGACAACAAAAATTAGGCTGAGCACTAAGTGCAGTCTAAGAGAAACATTTATCTTTCCTATGCTAAGTAAAGCAAGACATATTTGAAGAGATTCCTTAGCACCAGAGAGGAGATAGCTCAGTGTGATAGCTACATTGTGCTGCCTAGTTAAAAGTGAATTTATCTTTCCATTACAGCTTTAATGCAACTCCCTATATCCAAAGAAAATTGATTTTCTTAATATTTCTCTTGCACCATCTCATTATCAACTAGAGATTTTAAAGAACACTTGGGGGAAATCCAACAGGATTTCTGTAAGTTTTTTTAGCATTTTGAAGGCTACATTCTCCCGTACTTTAGAGAAGTGCTGTGTTTTGTCACCCAGAGGAGGGAGCTGAGCACAGCAGCTGATGCAGGAGCTGCAGTCCTGGGTGGGTCAGGGACTCTGGGTGTGCAGTGCCAAGTCTGCTAAAGGAACCTGGGGACGGTCTCATTTCCAGGGGACAGTGGCACTGTCCCCTCCCGAGGTTCAGGAGCAATGGAGAGGTGCACAGAGCGTGGGTGTGGGAGCCCAGGTGGGCTGGGGTTGGTCACACACAGCCCTGCTCACAGCTGAGCCATGGATAACCTGGGATGGGATGGGATGGGATGGGATGGGATGGGATGGGATGGGATGGGATTGGATTTCCCTCCTGCCCCATCTGCCTTGCCTAACCCTGGTCTTGCATGCACACAGGCACCTACATGGGCTGCTTCACTCACGACTCAAGGGAGAGGACACTGAGGGGAGCTGTCTTTTATGACTTAAGAAAAATGACAGTAGCTCACTGTCAGGAAGCTTGTGCTGAGAGGTGAGTGGTGTTTTTTCACTGCAAGTTTTCTTTTTTCTGGCTATAAGTGGAACTGAATTTGAAGTGGGAAAAGCATGCCAATGTTAAACATAGAGCATCTCTGAAAACAGTGATTATCTCGTACCTTCAGGCACAGCTTCTCTGCTTGGAGCACACTGCTGCCTGCTCTCTATGGCACCATGGCTGCTTACATTATATTCTCCATTGTCCTGGACAGAAACTACTGTTTGGTTAAATAGTCTTTGTAAGATATCTGTGTTTTGATAGATAGGGGTCTCCAGTCTGTATCTTGTTGAGGGCTGTCCCTGCTGAGGACAGAACGCTGTGCCCAGCACAGAGTGAGCCCCAGAGCAGGGCACAGGAGCAGGGCAGTGTGTGACAGGGCCAGGCTCGGGCAGTGTGTGACAGGCTGTGTGTGTACGGGACAGGGCCAGGCTCGGGCAGTGTGTGACAGGCTGTGT